TAATTAATTCACATTTTTTATTGAAATATTTTTCAATGTGTGGCTTTCCTCTTTTAGACATTTCAGTTTTAAAGCTATTTAAGTCCTCTTTCATTGGATACCAAACTTGTTTAATTTGGATAAGCGGTTTGTTTATTATCCGGAAAGTACTTCTATTTCGGAGTAAAAAATATTTGGCCAAGTTAAACTCGTAAAAAAAATAACTTTCGGTCCCTTCAATATTCGCATTCGCAAAAGATCCGCGTTAATTTTTGCGAACGCGAATGCGAATGTTAAAATTAATGCGGAAGCTCCGCGGTTACGAATGCGAATGCGAATATACGCAGCAACCCTGGCCCAAAGTTATGCGGTAACATACGTAAACGAAAAAAATCTTCCGACGAATTGATAACCTTTACCTTTTTTGTAGTCGGTTAAAAACAAAAAATACTGAAATACTGGTGCGTTAAATCACATATTTACTTTTTATATATATTTTATATGCACATGTTACATTAAAAAAAAAGGATTTTGAAAAATTTATTTATTCATTTTTGGCATTCAGTATACAAAAATACTTTTTGAGAAGAAAAAATTTGCTAATTTCTAATAAAAAAAAAAAATTATCGGAGAAAAAACTACTAAACAACCAACTTCGAAAAAATGAAAGAAAAAGAACCAAGTTTGGTTGGAAATAACAAGCAATGGCAACTATGCTCACTACCTGCAATCACGAATAGTGATGTAAATTTTCGATACTTTCAAGTATGGATCGGTACTCGATACTTAAGAAACAATTATTGAATAAAAGCATTCGATACTTTTACATTATTCCGTTAAAAATTCCTTATACCAAAACCGATAAAAATGTTATGACTTTTAAGGCCAAAATACAATAGCGCAGTGGCAGTGGCAGTGACAATTTTTAAAATCAGCTGTCACTGCTAATAGGCAGTCACTGCCGCAGCAAATACAATACGGCGTTGTCAGTGACAGCTTTTTTTGACATTTCCTTTTGTTTGTTTACATTTTTGTTGTTGTCTTTTAGGCTTCAGTGACATGAACAGAAGTTGACTGAATTTTATTTATGTCAAATTCAGCATGGGAAGTTTGCTGCGATGAAGGCAGTGGCAGTGAATTTAGAATTTGGGCTAAACTGAGCAGTACTGCCAGCTGCCACTGCTGTATCGTGAGTCGCTTCATTGGACACCACTGTTTGCAGGCGGGCGGATCGCACCGATGATTCGCTCGCTCGCAAATGTATATGAAGAAAATACAAAACAGATGCAAATGTGCGGTTTTAGTATTTGGTATATTTGATGTGTTTCAACAATCGTACAAGTCACAAGGAAAATTTGTGTTCTTACCGTATGTGGCGTGGTAGCTGGCGATCAGGTCGCAGGTCTTCAGAGAAGTGCCGAAGTGCAGAATAATTTAATTGCTCGCACCTACCGGACAATAGCCTTTCGTTAGGTTTCCCCTCCGAACAGTTATGGTCCGGTAGGGTAGACTTGCTAACGGCGGGAAGTTCGCCGTAGCCTATGTGCATGTGTGTGAGTGAATCTGTATCAGTAAAAAACGACCATTAGGGCCTTTCCGAATATTTAGGCTGGTGGCCTAAACATGCCGCCCCCCTTGCGGCAAGCAACCCCTACGGAAGAGTTACTGGCTCAACTACCATGCCACATGAGGCAAGTGAAAACTTAAAACTAAAATTAAATTTAAAACTAAAATCCGATATATGTAGGGTCCTTGTTCGCCAGATTCGGACTAATGTTTCACCTAGACTTCTGTCAACGAAAAGAAAAGGTTATTCTAAAAAGATGTGGTGTTCAATTCATTGCACTTTAATGTGAAATTCAATTTTTGGAAAATATTTCATTGTTTACAGTTATAAATGTGTATATGTTCAGTTTTGGTGGGCCCCAGATCGCAGGACAGAGGCGATTGTATCGCGCGGTGATGACCACTTGGGTGGTTACCCGTTCCGCGATCCCATATTTCCCACGCAACGCGAGAGCGCATGTCCGGCTCCGGCCATTGTTGCGGCGTTCGAGTTGGAGCTCGCGTGCCAGTTGCGCGTCGATGATGGAATTCGGCGTACAAGAATCGCATAACGCGCGAACCAAGTGAAGTCGTCCACCAGATTTAATTCGGACGATAGCAGTCGGGGCTATAGCTTCGAATGCCCGCAATATGGGCGCTGCTATCGCATTATGAGTAGCTCGACCAGTCCGGAAACCTTCGGGTATAGCAAGAGCCATTTTTTCAGCTGGTTGTTGTTGTTGCTGTCGTCGATGATACGGTGCATACCGATGTGCTTGGCGCCGAGGCGGGCGGAAAGAACGGGTTTCCGCGCCGCCCCGTTTGCACTTTTACGTTGAAAAGGTGGTCGGAAAGAACGTGTTTCCGAGCCACCCGCGCATTTTGTTTGCAACGGGGCAGGCAGTCTGAAATAACTCGTTCCAGAGCCGCGCTGCCCGTGCGATCGGCAAAGACTGGTTTCCGAGTCCCCCCTGGGCCTCTCATGTTGCAGCACTTCCTCTTCTTCTACTTGGCTCGCCCACGATTTCGTTTGCTCCGTGACGTGAATGGACAGCGCCCCGTCCGAGCCTTCGCCGTCCCCGATCGCATTATTGTGTATTCGCTCGCCGGCGTCCTCTATATGGAGCGAAGTATGATGCTTTTCGTCGCATCTATGGCATCGGTCCTTGCTAATGCAAATTTCCAGGCGATGAAAGGGCGACAAGCAATTGGGACAATATCGGTAGATTAGGACCGCCCGCAGCCTTTCTTCAACAGTTTTGCCACGATAGTGGGGACAGAGTCGAATTCCATGGTTTTCGTCGCATAATCGGCATGGAATCGAAAACTTTTCGGCACGGTCTTCCGTCTTTGTGCGATTCACGGTGAAACGAGTCATGCTGCAATTTGGCTATTATTTTATTTGACCTTGAATTTTTTCTCATAGTTGGGTGGCAAGTGGCTGATGCTATGCTTCCGTATCGTGGACCAATACGTTAGAAGAAGTTATACGCAAAAAGTTGTAGGTGTATATACATACATGATATTATGTGATTGATCCTTTTAACGTGTGAACCTTGTATTATTTAAGTTACTGCTTAATCAGGTGGTGGATTGACAGTTTATTTTAGTACATTAATAATTTGGTGGAAGGTGCCCAACGATTCGAAATTTTATTGAAGTATGTTTGTTGCAGTTTGCTTTAGCAACGAACAGATCTTTGAAAGTAGTGCGAATTGTCGGATCCTTGTTTCCTCGAACTTACCTTGAAATCTCCAATATCGTAAAATGTGCCATTTGTGGTTTTGTGGTGAGTTTCACTACTTGACCTGGCACCGCGAAAGAGAAATTTTTACAATATGGGTTCTAGACTGGGCTTAATCCGGAAGATAGCACATAATTCAAAAAAAAATATTTATTTTGCGCCGTTTCTTACAAGGTTGTATAGCTGTCAACCAGGTGGCGCCGCCTTCAGTACATTGGCAGAATAACGTATGCCAATCTTTGAGCAAATATCGTATGTCAAAATTTGGCAGTGCTATGACTTCCTGAATGGCTGAAAAGTCATTCTGGATTTTCCATGCGGTAAGTATAGTATAGCAGTAGTAATTTCAAGTACTGCATTAATAATTTTCTATTTTTATTAAATTTCAGATTAGCGGCTACAATGAACTATCGCATTCCTCATCCGATGATGAAATGGACGATGTGCGGGATGTACTGGCCTCTTGGAGTGGTGACAATAGAAACAGTAAAACGTCGAGGCTGGATGTTAGCGGAAATGCCACAGCGCAATGCTGTCTTATATCGTAGTAGCAAATCTGTGATTTTCTTTGATGGTGATTATGATGGTGATGTATGAGAGGCACAAGCACATTTTTATTACTGCAATATAATACATAACTCATAAACATAATACTGATGCAAAAAGCTGGACACACAAGTAAACTAGCGTAAAAAAACATGCAGCAACTCAAGCAACTCAGAAATTAACTTTTTTCAAGTAGCTTAAATCATAATGAGTATTAAATTAACTCACTTCGCTCGTAGCCTAAATTCTTAAGAGGTTCCGCGTGTATTTTACCAGCACGCATACAAACTCCTCAGTAATATCTAATATTAATAAGTCTTGCACTGTATTAAGTCTGGCGCAATATTTTTTTATTTTATTATCTTTAGAAATGGTAAAAAATGTAGGTGCTCATTTCTGCTGTACTGCAGAATAGTTAATATGTTGCGGCGATGAGCAATGCTAGATCTCTTATGTTCCAAAACAATTAGTACCCTAGTATGTCTGTCGGTTGACGTAATTTAGATTAGCAAAAATTTCACTCACCGACGAAGTAAATAAAAATTAGTGCAATTATTAAAATGAAAATAAATCAGCTGTTAAAACAATCTACCGAAATTCAGTTTGTGCTTCCCGTATTTCATATTTAATGCAGGGAGATGTGCTAAAAAGTGTTTGAATATCATTGGAATACTGGGTTGCGGGAGTGATTAAGTAGTGCAGCAAACAAAAATGCGCACTGGATTAAGAAGCGCCTCATCCAGACATGTTGTGGCGGTTATAGTCCTATGCATTATCTGGTGTCTGATATCCTCTAGCCACAATTTTATTGGCAAGATGGTACTTTCGTTGGTCTCACCCCTGACTTATGCGGTTGCCAGCGCATCAAAAAGAATTTTTGTGATAGCTGTATCACTGTTAATTTTAGGGAGTCCTGTGACGTGGTTAAACTGCGTCGGCAAGACTTTGGCCATATTCGGCGTGTTATGCTATAACCGGGCCGAACAGGTGTCTAGAGCAGTGACCGCCAAACACTTTCCTGGGAAACGAACTATATTCGGCTTTTCACATGTACACAATCGGCTTCTTATACGTACACAATCCGAACGTCAACAGAAAGAGTAGCAGAGCAACACATTTTATTTAGTTGCATGCAAACAATAGGCGAAGCAGGTTGATGACGCATTTCCGTGCATTACCACCAACACATTCTCATTTTTTATTTCATAACTAATACATTCTCATTTTAAGACTTCTCTTTTTGGCGGACACTGGTCTAGAGCGTCAGACACGGTATTACCTCTAACACAAAACCATCGTATTAAATACGAGCCACTTAACGGAAATCTGGATCCCTACTATCAAGGGGCAGTTACGAGCAGCGTAAATGGTTTCACTAGTAAACGTGGTGAAAAACAGTATCCTAATGTAAATACAGTTGCTGCAAACAGCCTGCTGACTAATGGAAATATGTTTCCAAATGGTAGTACGACAACGACCCGTTTACTTTTTGTTTGATTTCGTAATTAAATTGCTTCCAAGTTTTAAGTAAAGGCAGACTTAAGGAAAGCTCAGTTAGATAAATAATTTGTTGAGGCATAATTAGAAAAACAAATTGTGCATGTGTGTAAATATGGTAATTTTATACAAACAATTTCAGACATTACACAAGAGTCTCAAAGCGGATATAAAATCAATAATACAAGAACCCATTTGATATGGGCGAATACTCTTATACTGATTTGTTTTATAAGATTATTAGAAGATTATCAAAATATGTTATAATAGTAACCAATAATTTTGCATACATATATGTGCATACATATGTATACGTATGTAATTTAAATTATATCTCCTTCCCAGCGAGAATTGTAGCAAATGATCACGCTTATGTACGTACCTACATACATACATAAGAGTTATCTATAAAACAGGACCAATTTTAAGGAATTTGAACTGAGATGGTTTATCGCCGTGTGGAAATGTTAAAAAAGCAATAAATCAATATGACCAACTATAAAGTAAAAACGAAAACGGTCAAGTATGAGCACCCGATTCAATTATGCCCACTGACCATGTTTGCTAAACGGCAGCAACCAAACCGGAATATGGAAGTCGTGAGTTTATAGTTTATATGCTTAACGCTTACGCACGAAAATAGTCATACCTATATGTCATCGCAATTCTAATCTGTGCGCAGATTTCGGATAGTTGAAATACAATTGCCAAAAATTGGCGCATACCCAATGTTCATAGAAATTGTAAATTTTACTAGGAAAAATTTTATTTTCCAACGATTTTTCAGTAGAAAAGTCAGCTGATCGCATATGGCAGAGTGCGAATTCAAGATATTAAAGGAATTGTTCCCGAGTTTTTAGAGTCGAAATTAGCCAAAGAAGCATACTTGGATAGATAATAGGATGTGAAAACGGTTCTTATTAGGATATTGCTGCAAATATGTTTATCTTACATGTGAATTGTAGCTCGCGACAGATACCTCTCCTTGTCGTTTGAAAATATCTTGTGTGGACTTCGTGCATTATGACTTATGTATGTCTCTTTCAGGTAGTTGTTACAGTCTAAACTCCAATGGGCGATTTTACTCAAGAGTGGCTGGCTGGCCTACAATACCAAATACTTATTTTAGTTCAGCGTCGACCACCATTGCCGGAGTCATCGCTGTCAGAATATCGAATGGCATAAGCAAATGTAATCCCGGGAAACGAGAGGAGTACTTAAGTGTTGGCGAAACTTTGGTGAATGTTAATTATCTTTTGCCTGGATCTGAGCTTGTGCATGCATACGTATGTCCATATATTTGGTGGTTAGGCATGGTCGAACCTATATTTCTATAAAAAAAGGGTTTAATGATTCTTTTGGTATCACAGCTATGGGCATTCGAATGCGCACTGGCCACGTTACACTATTTAAAGTTTGAACTTTCTGCTAACTGGGTGAACAGATCTTGCTTTGAACTAGACATAATCCATTAATACAGTAAATTAATCCTTTGCGCAATACATGAGAGTACATGTTTGCTTTATGCCCTTTCCTTTGCGTTGATCCTGCTTTCTGGTCTCGTCTCTAACGAAGAGTGGCAACGCACTAGGCGCGAGACTAAAACGATAAGGTTGGGTTTTTTTTTTTTTTTTTTTTACGAAAGCTATTGGTACCCGGAACTGGTCCATAAATTAGTTCTAATGTATTTGAGATTTATGAAATTGTGTTTCTGCAGCAGGGCGCCCAATTACACATACGTACATCCGTAAGTACATATTTTCCTATTCTCTATGACATGCAGGAGCGTACACGGGTTGGTTTTCCTGTAAAATACTAAACGTTAAATGTGCGATACGCTGCGATTGTAAGCTTAGTGGTCGTTATCTGGAAGCCAAATGGCTGCGGGCTATGCCCATGCACACATTCGCATTGGCAAAAACATTCGTATCATTTGATGCGAATGTCGAATGCGAATGTGTAAAATGATGCGAATCATTCGCATAACGAATGCGAATGCAAATATCCGCAACATCCCTGATCCGAAAGTTCGATTTGCGGAAATTGCAACGGCTTTCAAAGGTTACTTTCCTTGCAAGGTGTAAAGGTGCGGCTATGCATTTTGCAGTCAAAATGCGAGATCGAAAGTCTACTTTTCCGTGTGAAACAGCCAAAAAGTCGCTTTGCAGATTTGCTGAAAACACTTTTGGAAATTAAAATTGCAAGGTGTAGCTGCAACTGAAACTACGTAAATCGTTTTCGAGAAATAATTTCAACTTGCTCGTGCTGCACAAGTAATTTTCATTTTGCTTTTTGGCGAATCCGAATAAAATTATAAAAAATGTTGAGTAAAATATGAAAAATATGTGCGGGTAATTTATTCTACTGATATGGAGTATTTAGGTATTAATGTATTAGACATTGTGTGACGGCTTTGTGCACATTTTAGCAGGTTAAGTAAATTTTTCAGGGCATTAATTTTGTTATGAGCATAAAGGTGTCTGGTGATGATTCTGTAATATTACTTACGTATTCATGGTTTGACATGCGGTATCGAAGTTATTCGTAGTAATAATTTTGTAGCTGGAATATTGGGCATTTAAGATGTGGGATTGCGTAGGGAGTAAGAAGTGGAATAGCTGGGTTTTGTGAAGTGGAATGAAAAGTAAGGAAGTTTATTGAGAGATTGTGGTGTTTTCGTTGCAGGGCGGAAGTAGGACCAATTTTGCAATTGGCCTGGTGATTTCTCCCTTAGCTGTATCGATGTCGACTACTCTTACCCGGTTGTCGGAACCTGGATGTAGCTTGACGATTCTCTCCAACCTCCATTCGTTAGGTGGCAGGTTTTCCTCTTTAACGACGACCAGGTCCCCTTGCTTTAAGTTGGCTTGTGGATGTTTCCACTTAATGCGTTTCTGCATTTCGGTGAGGTATTCCATTTTCCATCTTCTGCAAAATGTCTGATGTAGGGCCTTCAGTTTCTGCCATCGATTTACGATCGCAGCAGGATTTTCGTTTACGTCGACTTCAGCTGGGGCAAGAAGATGCCCACCCACTAGGAAATGACCTGGAGTAAGCGGCTCCAGATCGGACGGTTCATTTGAAGAGGGGCTTAGTGGTCGTGAGTTGAGACAAGACTTAATACGGCACGAACGAGTACTGAAATCTTCAAAAGTATATTTATGGTCGGACGCGACCTTTTTAAAGTGAGTTTTAAAACTTTTCACCCCTGCTTCCCACAAACCGCCCATGTGGGGAGCCGCAGCGGGTATGAAATGCCATTCTACAGTTTGATGGTTGTATTTAATGAGAGTGCTATTGCGTGCCTCAGCTAAAAAAGCTTTAAATTCCGATCGTAAAGATCGTGACGCTCCGACAAAGTTAGTGCCATTGTCGGAGTAAATTTTTTTTGGACATCCTCGTCTAGCAACAAATCTTGCGAAAGCGGCTAGAAAGGACGCGGTGCTAAGGTCGCTGGTAGCTTCAAGGTGGATAGCTTTCGTCGAGAAGCAGACGAAAAGACAAACATAGCCCTTTGACATGCGACATCCCCTGCCCCGGTAGGACTTTATGTCAAATGGACCGGCGAAATCCACACCCGTGTTTGTGAATGCACGGGAAAAGGTTGTGCGTTCTTTGGGAAGAATTCCCATCAGTTGGGTCTGCGAGCGTTTGTTGTGAATCGTGCATACCTTACAGTTGTGGATAATGAACCTGATCATATTTTTCACTCTCGGAATCCAATATTGCGTACGTAAGAGGCGCAACATCCACTGGTTTTCCCCATGTAACGAGATCTGATGGATGAACTGAACGATAAGACGAGTGCGCCGATACGACCACCAGTTCGCATAATATCATTCTTGTCGATGAATGGGTTGAGGGGCAAAACTTCACTATTCGCGTCGAGGGACCTACCCCATTTCAAGTTCCCATATTCTTCTCTATAATGTTGTTTCTGATAAACTGTTATTAAGCGTTGGGTCGTTGTTTTAATTTCACTGGACGAAATTGAACACGACTCTGCTTTAAAAGACGATTTTGTTTTGGGATTGGTTCTTTGATAAAATCTCAATACATATGAGATAACTCTCAAAGCTCTTGGGAAATCCGAGAATCTATCGAGAATGTTCACATTGTTTGTACTGGTTGTTGCGTGAACATGCACCCTTTTTTCCTCTAAGCTTGTGTTGAAGTCCCTTTCTTGTGCTGGCCATTGCGAGTTATCTTCTTGTAACCAAGAAGGACCCTGCCACCACAAGGAGTTATTGACTAGTTCACTCGCCGAAAGTCCTCTACTGGTCAGATCCGCTGGGCTTGCTGCTGAATCCACGTGACGCCAGTTTTCGTTTCCTACCTTTTCTACCAGCTTCGTTATCCTGTGGGCAACAAATGTTGACCATGAACACGGAGGTTTTCGAATCCAAGCTAAAACAAGATTAAGGNGATTAAGATTTTCAACGACTGTTTCAACTGTCTCTGCTAGTAGCACTGCACCGCAGAGCTCCAATCTGGGCAAAGAAATTGTCTTTACGGGGGCCACTCTTGTTTTTGCCATGAGTAAATTGATAAAGATTTTCTCCTTTGTCTTTATCCTTAGAAAACCCGTTGCTGCAAACGCTTTTTCCGATGCGTCGCTGAAACCGTGAATTTCCACGTCGTCTGTCGGAGAAAAGTGAACCCACCTGGGTATGCGAATATTATTAATTGCTGTATAATCCCTCATAAAATTTTGCCAGCGGTCCAAAATGGGTGGGGAAACGGTCTCGTTCCAATCTGTTCCTACAAGCCAAATGCTCTGCATAATAATTTTGGCGACGATTATAGCTGGCGCGAGCTAACCAAGCGGATCAAACAGTTTGGCAATAGCTGACAGTATTGCCCTTTTAGTTATAGCGTCGCGATTCTCTATAGGTTTCGCAGTAAAGTAGAAATAGTCTGAGTGAGCATTCCACCTGATACCTAGAGCTTTTACCGTGCTGGTATCTTCAAACTCTAGAAAGTCTTCTTTTAGAAGATCTTGCTTTGTTATTCCT